TGAGGCCGTGGAGCGGTGCACCGAGACGTCTCTCGAACTGGGTGATGCCCGGCGCCATCTTGATCGGGAGGTTCCAGTTCCAGGTTCGCATCTCCTACTTTTTTTTCTGTGAGGGCTGTGAGTCAGCACCTTTCATCTCGTCGTCGGCGGCTGCGGGTGGGTCGGTGCTTGCTGTCCCCCGCGGCTGCCTCCTTCTGCGTGGGCTCGGCGGCTCGGCCTCGTCCTTCTTGTTCTCCTCCTCGTCCTTTATCTCACGCCTCATGCCAGAGTAGCGCACCACGCCTCTCCGAGCACGCGTCCATCACCTTCTTGCGTGCGGCGTAGGTCTGGACTGTGAGGATGGAGATCGGGGCCAGGAACCTTGTGCCGTCCGTGCCCTCCATGGTCGCGGTTGCACTCCAGGTACCCAAGGTTGTTTTCCTTGAGCGCCTCTGCTGAGGTTCTGGTCCGCTGCTGTGGCCCACTCTGGCAAGTTCCTCACCACCAGCGTTCACTTGGCGGCCTCGATCTGTGAGTACACTGTGAGTACCTGACCTTAAGCTCCGTCCACCGTGCGGATCTGAGCACGCGGACATCGTGCTCGAGCTTGTCCGCATGGCTGACGAGCTCTGCGCCAACCTGCGCGAACGCCGCCTGCAGAGGGGGGCCCACCTTAGTCTGCAAGGCCTCGGTGGTCATCGCCGCACACTCCTCCCCGAACATCGGCTGTGAGGAACCTGCGCCTCCTTGTGGAGGGCGGGCCACTGGTGCTGCGGTTGATAGCACCGAAGGGCCGTCGCCTGTGAGCAAGGCATGCTGTGAGACGCGTTACTGCATCGTCGCTATCTTCTCGGCTAAGCCTCTAGGCCACCAGCTACTGCGGAGAGCTGCGAGGCCATAGTCTCCAGCACCTTGGATTGGTCGGCCATGGCACCTGTGAGGTCTAAGGAGAGAGAAAGGGGCGCGGAAAGCTTGAGCACTCGTGAGCCTATAGAAAGCTTTTCAGACCTTTACAGTTTTTTTTGACTTGTAGAACTGTTACAAACTTTGTAGGTTAAATCTACCATTGTCTGTTTGTTGCGTTTCTGGACGCTCATTGTCACTATGTGTCTTTGTTTGTCAGTTTTGCCATGACTGTCGAAAAAGCCTTGTGGCTTTAAGCCCGGTGGCTGTGCAACCTCGCAAAAGGGTAGTGAAAGCACCTGAAACGGCACAACTCCAAATCCGAGACCCGAAACCTGAAAATCCTTCAGGTTGAAACTTGAAACCCGGAACCTACGATGAACCCGCATCCTAAGCCATGGCCCTGACCCTGACCCCCAGCCCGGTGGCTCAAACCGCAAGCCGCAAAACGAGCCGAAACCCCAAACTATAACCGCTTAAAACCAAGCCCCGCAATTGAACGCAATAAGCTTAAACACCAAAATCCGACGTGCCCGATATTCTAAAAGTCTCAAACCTTAAAACTCTACACCCTTAAACCTTTTTGCCTTTAGCCTGAAACACTTAAAACCATTAAACGCGGAAACGTCAGCCTTCTTGCAAACCCTTCGGGACCTATCTCACAAACCCTCAACCTACACCTTTGGAACGTAGTTACAAAGCCTAGCTAACATGTGCCTAAACCCAAAACCATCCAAGCCCTAAATAAAGATCCAAACCTCGAGCCCAAAACCCTGGAACCGTGAAACACCAAGTTGGAGCTACAACTACAAACCATAAACCCAAAACTTTGATTGCTGCTGCATCCACTCATCCCTCCTTGCCTCCGTGCCGCCGTTGGCTGTTTTCGAAGGTGCCACCGCAGAGTAGAGCGAAGAGTCAGAAGCTCAGCCCGAAGTGTACAGACTTACTCCCTGAAAAAGCCCAGGGTGGGCAGGGTTGGGGGCGCTTTCGAAACTTCCTGCGACAGGATTTCGGCCAAAAGCTTCAGCATGAAAGAGATGATAAGGACGACATATCACAGTGATGCAGCTGCACGTCTGTATGGTCTGCTCACTTCAGCCTTCAGAATAGGCTTTAGTGCTGGACACGTTCGCACAGCAATATCCCTTCATTGCTGCTGCATCCACTCATCCCTCCTTGCCTCCGTGCCGCCGTTGGCTGTTTTCGAAGGTGCCACCGCAGAGTAGAGCGAAGAGTCAGAAGCTCAGCCCGAAGTGTACAGACTTACTCCCTGAAAAAGCCCAATACCCCGCGCTGGTGGACGCGTAGCGCCGCCGTACCAAAGGAAGTTCAGGAAATCAAAAAGCCATGCAAGAAGACATCACAACTGGAGCAGAATGTGGAAGCCCTCGACCACAAGAGCAGCAAACAGCCTCTCCAGCAGCTGCCCGCGAGCTGGTGCGGGGCAGAATACCCGCAGCCATCGCAGCGCATGCCCGGCTCCTGTGGACAGAGCGCCGGTGGCAACCTCGACAAATTCAAAGGAAAATCCTTGGCTTGGGTCTTGTCTCACGCCTCCTGCGTTTCCCACGAGAAGGCCCATCTGCAGGGTTTGATTCGCTGGGAATGTATACGATTCTCGGAAGAATGTCAGCGCTGAGAGTGTGCGCGGCAGCGCTTCGGAGGACCCTCAAGAAGGCATGGGCGGAGCTGCGTCCTTTCGCAGCTGCGCCCACAACCGCTTTAGCATCGACCAGGAAAGCAACTTTGCGATGATGCCTCTTGTGACTTCGAGCCGCCCACTTTAAGCCCAACACGTAGCCGTGCACTTCCAGAACGCCTGCGCGTGCGCGTCGTTTGGCCCGTGCTGACACAACCGTGGCAAAGTCACGCTGCGCCAGCTTTAAACGCCGCGGTTTGAACGGTTTGCCATGTCGAAGCAGCTCTACTGGGTCACCAGGCAAAGTAGTGAGTCGAACATAATCCCCCCTTTTCTCAGACATTCTGCAAACCCTAGCCGCCTCTTCAGGCGCGCAGGGGCTGATGCTGACACCGAAACCATATTCAGGGCAGGCATCGGTCGCGACCAGTGTGTCGAGCGGAAACCTATCCAGACCAGCTGCCAGCAACTTGCTGGGCCATAGGCGGGTGCACGGTTGCGTTGCTTTGTTGCCGGGAAGTTGCCGGGAAGTTGCCGGGTAAATCGGCTCGTGCTGGAAACAAAAAAGATATAGTTTGTTTGCGGTTAGTCAACAATCAAAACCAAAGGCTGGGTGGCTGAGAAACCAAAATTAGGAACGTCTTCAAACTTGAGTTGTATGTCGTATGTTTTGGCAAACCAAGACAAACTTTTTACCCAAGAAAAAACGAAACAACTTTTCACAAAACTGTCAAATTTCTGTTTGTTTTGATGGAGCACATGACAAGCGACATTCGACTATGTGTTTGGGGGTTTAGGGTTTCCAAGGTTTATGTTTGGTAATACCAACTATAACTATATCATAAGGGCTGAAGTAAATTATACCATCATGCATTAGAGACTTCAGAGATATGACAGACAAATATATAGATAGATAGATAGATAGATAGATAGATAGATATATTTAGAATGTTTGCAGCAGCGTCCTTGCGTGTGGTGCTGAAGAGTACCTGTTTGTTTCTGCAGTGGTGCTGATGAGTACCAGTGGTGCTGAAGAGTGCCTGCTTGTTTTCTGCAGTGGTGCTGATGAGTACCCTTGGTGCTACCAATTATCATGACTGGGGTTCCGGGTTGACTGGGGTAGACCCTGCACGGATTCCTGATATTAAGTCTGCTTAGCATGCTGCCATCCTTGTATATAGTCGTTATCAAGGCAAGTTAGGACTACACCCCTAGCGCTTGGATTAGTTCAGGAGTTCGGGGTTAGACCCTACAAAGAATCCCGACGTTAAAAGTTAAGGTTCCTTAGCAGGATTTCCAGGGATTGCATCTGGAGTGTTGCCTTACAGTTTTAGCAGGTAGTACTGGCAATTCACTAGGCTGCTACAGTACCTGCAGGGGTTCAGGACTGACGGTCCGAGTTGTCGGTGTTGAAGTCTTTTTGTTAATTAAGGGTTGGGGCCTAGTGAGAAGGTTCGTTCGGGTTTGCTGCCATACTCTTTGCATAAAACAGCGGGGCCCGATGAAATGGCTAGTATTTCTTTCGTAGTCAAACAGAAGCAAGGAGAGGTACTCTTCAGCACCACAGATGACAGTATTTCAATCGGAGGCTGATTCCTGATGCCGAGGCACTCACGATTGGCTCCGGACTCCACGAGGCCTGGAGATCAGGCGTTCGTAGATTTATGAGTCACATGAGTCCGATTAAGCAATGCTGCTTGGCTTCGTGAAGAATCTGACTCATGATCAGGCAGACGAGCGCACTGCCAAAGACTCAGCGCGAGACCGTTTCGCTACGTAGCGCCTGTGCTGCTGAAGAGCGGCATGTCAGTGAGCTGTGGTGCTGAAGAGTGCTTTCTCAGTGACAGTCGCACCGAGGAGAGAGGATAGGTACTCTTCAGCACCACAGATGACAGTGATGCAGCAATCGCAGGCTGACGCCGAGGTTCTCACGACGTCTCACGACCACGAGGCCTGGAGATCAGGTGTTCGTAGACACATGATTCTGAAAAGCAATGCTGCTTGGCTTCTTGAGTGTAACCCATGATCAGGCAGGTGAGCACACTGCCAAAGACTCAGCTCCAGACACAAGGTTTCGCTTTGTTGAACAAGTTGCACCTGTGCTGTTGAAGAGCGGCGTCTCACTGAGCTCTGTGGTGCTGAAGAGTGCCGTCTGTCTAGCAACCAACGCACGTGCGGTTCCTTCGCTTGTCTACGTCTACTCCTCTTCCCAGGACCGGCCTTCAGAGCAGCGCTGAAGATGATGAGGTTCCTCGGCAATCAAGGAGGCAGGCCAATTGTAATTATATAGGTATGAGAGCTTCTTCTATGTGAACGCTGCAGAGGTGCAAGCAAGCAATAAGCTCCAGTTGTTTTCTCGTGCCCAAAGCCCAAAGTGACATCGCGCCATCATTTGTCGTTGGCCTGGCCGAGATATTTCATTAGTGGCCTATGATTAAAAAAGGCGCCCATTATGAAGCCCGCCTTCTCCGTCTTCTTATCCTTCTTTTCCTTCGGTCGCGGAGGCGGTGCCTCTGTCGACAACTGCTGCCAACACTGCCAAATGTTTGCTCATTGTGCAATAGGAGAGTGCATCAGAGTTAAGCCCAGCCTGTTCGATCTTCGCTTTCTTGGCTTCGACCTGCCGTGCTATGATTTGGTTTATGCAGTTATGCCATTTCGGGATTTTTGAAGAGGAGTGTATGAGATTCCCAGCCTTCTTGTCATCTTCCTTCCGATCCTCTTTCTTCCTCTTCGAGGCTGAAGACTCTGCTCTCATCTTTGCGACCTGCTGTGCTAGGAAATTTCGTGTCGTAACTCGGCCCTAGCCAAAAAGTTGAAAAAGACTGCCGCCCTGACTCTGAGGCCCCGCCTCCGGGTACTTGGCCGCAACCCTTTTCATCTGATCTTCTGCCGTCACCTGCAGGCTTCAAACCCCTTAGCTTACCAGAAGCGAGCCGAGAATGACAGTGGCCTCCGGAAGATCTGCTTTCGGGGGCTCCTCAGGCTTCGACTCTTTCTTGTCGTCCTACAGGAATCGAGTAGACTTAGATCACCGATCAAAATCACTCCGTGGAATCTACTGAATCCTTTAGGCTGCCGAAACGCTTCCGGCCTCCACTGCCTTTTTCTGGAGCACACCGGGAGGGCTCTTCTGCGTGTCTGGCTTCATGCCCTGAGTGCCCTTCTCCTGCTGAGCCTGTTGTGAGGCTGCGATCTTCTCCAAGTCACTGAGCTTGGAATGTCGCCATTCCATGCTCGACTGCTTCCAAAACTCCACGGATTCCAAGAGCTCGTTGACGCGCGTAGTTAGACGAGACTTCTCGAGCGCGTAGGCCTCCTTCTGCTCGGCCAAAAGTTTTTGCGCAGACTGTTGCTCGCGCTGAACGGCCTTCAGGATCTCAGCGTCACTGTAGGCCTTCCAGCGCTCGCCCAGCTGCAGCAGCGCATCCGTCTTGTCGGCCTCGGCAGCCGCCTTCGCCGCCAAGTTCGCCGCCTCGACGTAGGCCTTCTTCTCCTCGTTGAACCTCACCTGTTGTTGCGCCAGCTCTGCTTCGAGTTGTGCCTTGTGTAACTCTGCACAAGTCTGCTTCACCTCTCTCATCTTCGCGTCGAACTCCCTGCGAAGCTGACTGAAGTTCGGGCGAGCGCCCGAAGCTCGGCTTGCCTCCATCAGCTGAGTAACATCTTCGTCGTGCCCACGCAAGGGCGGAGTGAAGGATGGCCCTTTCTGCTTCGGAGCAGGTCGAGGTGCAGGCCCTTGTCCAGGTCGAGCTACAGCAGGTGCGGGCGGAGGCCCGGGCGGAGGCCCGGGTGGAGGCCCGGGTGGAGGCCCGGGCGGAGGTGGCGGAGGAGGCCCAAGCGGTGGCCTAGGTCCAGGTCCTTGCGGAGGCGGAGGTGCCGGAGCTTCCGCCGGCTCCGGCTTGTCTCGCCCATGCGCCCCATCATCCGGAGCTTCCGCCGGCGAAAAGTAGTCTCGCCCATGCACCCCATCCTGTGAGTGCCGCTTCTGCCAGCCATGCCACTGCGAATCATCTCGCCATCCAGAATAGGACCAATTTGACCACTCCGCGTCCATGGTTCTATGAAGGAACGGCTGGCGAAGCTCTCGAGTGAAGTATGACTTTGTAAGTGTCTAGTTTAAGGATTTATTGTTTAGGGTTTAGGTGTCAGAACCTGGAAGCCTGGAAGGTCGGAGAAATTAGGTTGCAATCGCAGTCTGCGGTTATGTTGATGTGACTTGAACTCGTGATGTTGAAACCTGAAACAGAAGGTCTGTGGACTAGTTCTTGCAATGTCTTCGGCAACGATAACTGCAGAACTTGGATTGTATACCTCGCGGCGACGGGCAGTGTTTTAAATGCACATGCGACTGCTTAACAGAATTTCCGCTGCATCTCAGGCTGAGTCTTCGGCTGTCGGAGATGATCATGACTGGCTGGCGTCAGGAGCTTGGATCACCGCCTGGCCAGGGCTGAGCTTTTGCAGGACATTGGACCTGGATTGTGGAATTCAGATGCCACTCTTCAGCAGCACAGCATCATTCTGGAACTCGGATGCCACTCTTCAGCAGCACAGCATCATTCTGGAACTCAGATGCCACTCTTCAGCAGCACAGCATTTGTCGTGGACAGCCGGCAAGCACAAAACCCTCAAACCCAAACAAACCCCAGGCTTCTCTGACCGAGCCTTGTCCGGTGATGTGGCCGTGGCCTCGGACTCAACGGTTGCAGGTTCGAACCAGTGCTTCTCTCCAGGTGCTTGTCATTAGGGTGCTAAAGAGTGCTTTGCAGCTGTGGTGCTGAAGAGTGCCGTAGTAGTAAGCTGTGGTGCTGAAGAGTGCCACGTGCTGTTTTTGTGTTGCTAAAGAGTGCTTTGTAGCTGTGGTGCTGATGCTGTTTTTGTGTTGCTAAAGAGTGCTTTGTAGCCTAAAGAGTGCTTTGTAGCTGTGGTGCTGAAGAGCGCCTTCCGATTGCTGCTGTTGTTTGAGCTGTGGTGCTGAAGAGTGCCGCCTGCTGTTTTTTTTCGAGTTCTGGGCTGGGAGTCCGCCTTTCCCGGGTTAAGGCGGACTGCCATGAATCCGACCGAAAAAACCAGGGTTTCGGGATCGAAGATGTAGGACTTTCCAGGAATCGAAGTCTGATGGACATGACTCACGCTGGGGAGTGACTGGATAAAGATAACATGTGCAATCAGGCAGGAATAAAGACGTATTGCAGCAGTTTGCTCGGGCATCCGTAGTTTGATTTTGGAGTCTTCTCCGTCTATATAAATCCTCGAGTGTTTGTCATGGCCAAGCGACTTGGCCGACCATGCAAGAAAGCCAAGACTACAAAGAAGAAGACCCCAGAAAAGAAGCTTGGCAAAGCCTCTTCGCTTCCTGGTCCCCTCTGGGGTGCCTGGCTTGACCACGTACTCGCTCAAGGCAGTACCTGGCTGTGGGTGGCGCTGGTGCTTAGTCACTGCTTCTGTCTGAGAATCACTGAAGTGCTCAAGCTCAAAGCCAGAGATTTTCTATGGAAGAAGAAATGTGTGCATATTGCACCTCTCAAGCGCCAGAAAGCTGTTCACAAGAGCATGCTCTCCGCCCTCGTGCCGTTCCTGAAATCTCTGCGAAGCAAAGGCAAGGCCAAGAAGCGCTATCAGAAGAAAGGTGTGCGGGGGGTGGTTGCCTTCTTCGATACGTGGAAGTGGCCCGCTAAAGACACCGATTACCTCTTCCCCTCACACAGATCGGATGCGAAGACAGAGCACCGGAGCAAGGACACGGTCACGAAGTCCATCGGTCGTCTTCGCCTCACCTTTGCACCGCCAGCGGAGGTTTTCGTTGAGGCAGAGAAGATCAGGTCACACAGCGGGCGTCACCGAGCCATAAATGACATGAAAAACGCCAACATCTCACAGCATGTGGCTATGAAGTTCGCACGCATCTCTGATGTCCGCACCTTTCTTGGCTATGGTGAACTCACTGATGAACAAACAGGTGCATCCCTCGAGAAGTCTGTCCCCCTGAAGAGTATTTTGCAAAAGATGTACGTCAAATCCAAGAAGAACCCGACGGTGAAAAAGAACAGCATGAAGATCATGAAGAAATCTATGAAGTGATCTCCGAGACGGCTGACTTCATCTTGTGTCTTGGCGGTTGAGGCCCGGACATGTCCTGAAAGAGACCACACACCTCGCAGCAGAGCTCACAGTAACGGATCGCTGCATCTGACGCAAAAGACGAAGCGGCTCTGAGTCTCCCTCTGTGTGATCTGCTTCAGAACATGTCAGCCGAAGACCACCGATCCTGTCAGTACGCATTTTGTGTTATGATTTCTGCAGGTTGCTACAGATCAATGGTCAAGAGGTGTCAGGTTCTTCGGACAAGCGCAATCTGATCAGACTCCGCCGAGTGAAGTCCCCTCATGATCCAGCGCTGCTGAACCCCGCAACGCTACCCTGCAGCAAAGGCGTGTGGGTCAGTCTGAAACATGAAAGTGTTCTTTGCACCACTTGTCGCTAGTACTCATTATAATTAACTTCCTCATATCATGGGTCACCTCCCACAAACACCTTCTCTGCAACGCGGGACATCTGCCTTTGCAAAAAACTGCAGGAAACTGAACATGGTGAAAGCATTGGGTCGGTTCTTGTATACAGCATCATTCTGCTTCATGCTGTCTGTGACAATGGCCATGTGAAAGAATGCCGATTCCGACTTCTTCTTCTCGCTGACCGCCTCCAAGAACTGAAGCTCAGAAATCAGCTTCCAGTGCGAAGTTGGTGAGCCTGCCACATCTTCCAGGGCTCTTGCTTGTTCCGAATGGACTCTCTGAAACTCACTAGTCAGACAAATCCTTCGTCGAGACTTGGTGGCGTTTGTGTATGCCAACACAACACCCTTGGTGCCTTCAGAGGCCGCAAACTCACAGTTGCAAACGCAGCGGCCCGCACACACTGCGTAGATCCAAGAAGCTGAAGCCTCCATCGCCATGCTCGGGAGCAAATAGTAGCCTGCAGCTGGCCGCCCTACCACCTCAATCTTCTTCTGGCAGAACACGCGCAGCACGTCTTGGAAACATGCTTGCTGGCAATCCGCAGGAATATCCACAAAGAACCGGGAGTCCGCCAATGTATGTTGCTGCCGCTCCACATTCTCATTGATTTTTCGCCATTTGTTCTTGTGGCCCTTCTCCGTCTCTCTCAGAAGTTTCAACCTCTGCTCGCAATCCTGAAGAAGATTCTGGTCAGTCGTGATCTCCTCGGGTAGAAGCTCATTGGCAACCAATGCCTTGACCTTGTTGTCCCGAGCGAGCTGGTCCAGCGTCTTCAGCTCTCGATCGTGCCGCTCAGTCCATTGTCGTGAAGCAGCAGCAGATGCTGCCTGCACAATCTCATCTTTGCTTCTGCGCTTCTTAAGCTGTCCCAAATGCTTGGACTGTGTCTTGCATTTGTGCCGCCATTCAGCTTCACTGCCTTTCTGCTTCTGTGGCAGTCGTGTCTGAAGCCGAGGTCCTTTGCAAAGCCTGGGCTTGCCATAGGTTGACATCCACATTCTCGCCGCGTCTTGGGCCACCGCTTCCTCCGGGCCCTTGAGACCCAAGCGAAGTGTGCCCTCTTGCATCTCCAGAATCATGTGGGAGCGCTCCTTACAGACCAAGCGCTCAAAGATGCTGAAGTGCTGCTCCACCTGCGAAGTGGAGGCACCATGGAAGGCACAGTATCGAGCCAAGACGACATCCAGGGCCGCCAGGTCATGATGGCACTGATGGCGCAAGCCCCGGTTGGCGAACTTCTTGCGGGTCATAACCCAGGCCTCCAAGTTGGAATTTGCCTGCCCTGACTTGAGAAAGTTCTGTGCGTTGTAGAAGCAGAGTTGGAATTGTTTCTTGAACTCGTCCGCATCAACACGAAACACCTGGGCCAATCTTTGCAATTCTGCTCTGCGCACTTCATGCCGATCGGTCTGCTCCTCGCACTTGCGCACATTGCAACTTAGGTCGAAAACATGGAAGGCCTGCACTGTCTGATATTGAGGAAACTCCGCCTGAAGACGTTTCGTGGCGAGGGTAACCCATCCACACATGCGGTCCAAGCATGAACGGATCATCCTGTCCGTCAGCTTCCCTGCACCGCCCAGCACCTTGATGCCGTCAGGCAGACGGGCCACGCGCTCCTTGCGAAGGTGTTCTATCATGATCTCTGTATGCCCATAGGAAAGCACTTCCTCATGAACGAACAGCACATCGATATTGTGCAAGAAGTCGCTCAAAGCTTGAAACATCAAAGCCGGATCATACGACTCCTTAGGTTTCGGAGCTTTGCTATTATTTATCTCCCAGTGTTGGTGGATCCAAATCAATCCTAGTCTGGTTCTATCTTTATGACTTAGCCCTGGTAATGAACCAAGTGACAGCATCGAGAAAGCGGACGAGCTCGAGAGACTGAAGGCTTGCATCTGCTAGCAATGCCAGTTGGAGAAGCGTCTCCTCACTCGCCTCCCGAAGGAACTGTTCCGCCTTAGCAGCTGGCACTGATCCCTGTCTCCTGACGACAACGTCTAGCGCCGACCTCCATATCGCATCGAATAGCACACAGAATCTCCCTAAAGGTTTGCAAGAGCTTTCGAAACGATGTGGACAGTAGTCCAAACACCGGATTCTCTTCCGTGTTTGCTCGCTCAAAGCAATATCCCCAGTCAGCTCATCCACGTTTCCAGCGAAGAGACCCTTCAAGTCGAAAGAATGCTGGAGCAAATTGGTCATGGAGTCCGGCGATGAAATGTACATGCCGTAGACCTGCGACAGCACCGGGTCTGCTGCCCATGGGTGCGTACTCAAACGCCGCGCACAGTGCGTTGGATCCTTGATGCAGACTTTCACATTCTTCAAGTAGTCCTGCCCCAGCAGTCGGAGGCAACGTTGTTCATCCGATGCCCCATCAGCATCCAGGAGTTCCACGGAGTCTGCGATCTTCTGCAAGAGGCTGTCATCCAGCCGACCATCGATGGTGCAGAAACGTTTGAGCACCTCATGTGAACTAATGGAGAGTTCATTCGAGAGGGTGCCTGGCTGCAGGTGCAGGCCTAGAAGGCCTGTCTGCACAGACCAATCTTCCAGCGTCGCGCTGTATCGAACCTGCAAGACTCCCTTGCGCACGTCCTGGTGGAGAGCCATTACCCGGACTTTGCGCAAGGACTCTCTCTCTCTCTCCAAACATGCCTTGGCAAGGCAAAGGCACAGCCGCTCCACTTTGTGTCTGCTGCCGAAGCTCCCTTGTTCTGCAGCAACAGCTCTGCAGCTGGCGCCCTTGTGCAACTGGCCCCAAACTTTCATGATCGTGCTAACAGATGGCGCATTCTGCAAGTCATCATCTTCCACTTTTCCTCCATGTGTCAACAAACTCAAAGTTGCACGTTGGTGCTCCGGACTTTTGGCATGCTTCGAAACAAGCCATTTGCGAAGATCTTGCACGGAGCTGATTGCTCTACCTCTGGCCCAAGTACCACAAAGCGTACTGAAGTCCTTACCAGACTCCGATGGCAAGTCCTTGCCTTCGAAGGCTCGGCAGCATATACAAACCAAGGCGAAGCATCTTGGCTGGACGCGCTGTCCCAAGAGCCAAGATCCCAACGCTGGCTGCTTAGGATCCAACAAAAACTCGGCTTCCCAAGCCTTTTGCCGACGTCGGTATGCAGCTTCAATGGTGTCCACATATGCTGCATCTGGCAGAGTCGTCGTAGTCGTACTCTCACCAAAGGTCTTCCGAGCTACGCTGGAAGTTGACGCAGCCGGCCAAGGCTGCTCCATGTCAGGTTCCATTATCAGTAGTATCTATAGAACCCACTTCAAACACACTTCCCGTTCATTGCTCCGTCCCTCCACTTGCAGAACATATCTCCTTCAAGTCTGGAGTTATTGAAGTTTAAGCATCGTTCGACAACACACACACAGGCAGAGCCACTCTTGCCAGGAAAAAGAGCAAGCAACTCATGCAAACGTCAAGATTCTATACTGATCTTACTTCACGGCAGTAATCTGTGCACAGCTCTGTCTCAGTCAAATCATGAAGCTGGGACTGGAGATGCCGCGAGCCTGGCAATGCAGTCCATTCGATGCCAATCTTTCCAGATCCGACCTGGGCAGTGCAAAGCTCGTTAATGCATGATGACAGGAGCTGCGCAACTAGTCATGATACTCGCCCAAGACATCCCAAGACTTAGGTACTCTGCAGCACCACAGGGAATTAAAACTCGTCCAAGACTTATAGGTACTCTTCAGCACCACATGGAATTAAAACAATTAAAACAAGACATCCTGGAATACATAGACGAGAACCAATGCCTCACACCACCGGGAATCCGGGAATAAACACAACAGGGTTCGCCCGCTATACTGGTTCCCACAGCTGGGTTTTGGGAGAAACAGACGAGACCCGGAGCGCAACCGCTTATGGCCCACCCCGCCGGGAATAAAAACAACAGGGTACGCCCCCTCCTGTTTTGGGATATATAGAGACGAGACCCGGAGCGCAACCGCTTATGGCCCACCCCGCCGGGAATAAAAACAACAGGGTACGCCCCCTCCTGTTTTGGGATATATAGAGACGAGACCCGGAGCGCAACCGCTTATGGCCCACCCCGCCGGGAATAAAAACAACAGGGTACGCCCCCTCCTGTTTTGGGATATATAGAGACGAGACCCGGAGCGCAACCGCTTATGGCCCACCCCGCCGGGAATAAAAACAACAGGGTACGCCCCCTCCTGTTTTGGGATATACAGACGAGACCCGGAGCGCAACCGCTTATGGCCCACCCCGCCGGGAATAAAAACAACAGGGTACGCCCCCTCCTGTTTTGGGCGCCATAGACGTTTCCAGACCCCCATAAAAACAACAGGGTACGCCCCCTCCTGTTTTGGGATGAGACACAATGACAATGGATGAAACCAGGAGCGCAACCGCTTATGGCCCAGGGGTGTCCTGTTTATAACGCCATAGACGTTTCCAGACCCCCATAAATACATAGTGGGGCGCCCCCACTTGTTTTAAAAGGGATAGGGGAATGTATCTTTCTATATACTGATCATCCACGGATATGACCGGCTTCCAGACATCGTGTAGTGTTGCCTACAAGAAGGACCAAGAAAACATACAAACACCAGCCCCTTTAAAAACAATAGGGGGCGCCCCCCCTTGTTCTAGCAGGGGTAGGCGCGGTCTGCGGCTATATAAACAGGACGCCCCTGGGCCATAAGGAGTTGCTCTCTCCAAAACATACGCAGTCATGCGGCTCTTCCCTTTTATCCTGGCCCCGCTGCCATCCAAAATCACGCATTCTGCAAGAACGGCAGAACAGCACGCAGAATGCCTACGACGATGTCAACTGCCATGGCGTTCCCGCACATGTGCAGAAGATCCCTTTCAGAGATCTCTTGTAAATTGAACATGTCAGGGTTCATTCCCTGGACTCGGCACAGCTCCTTGGCTGTGTGATGCCGATTCAAGCGCAGGTTGAAGTACGCCAGGCCTGTGCATCGGGCAACTGTCAAGGTTGGGAAAAAGCCATCGCACACCAGAGGATTCTGGAAGCCCGAGGCCAAATCTACGACATACATCTTCTCGAACGGATTGCCCTTGTCCTTCTTCTGGATGTTCCTCAACGCCTTCGTAAGGTTGTAGCTGGAGGTTTTCCCCTTCAGCACGGACGCCGGGATGTCTGCTAACTTCGGGACAATGGATGGAGCAGGGTGCTCAAGGATGGACTGCATTGTTCCTTGCTGCATGTTCTTCTCGCCTTCCACTGGAAATGTGTCACTGGAGCGAAGCTTGCGCAATATCCCCACGACGTACAATCTCACCCTGCGCTGCGGAAGCCCAAACGACATGGCATCCAGTTTTTTCTCATGCACCACGTAGGCTGGATGCCCTGAAGGATCCTTCAGGCTGCGAAGGAACGTCATCACTTCCTTGTAGTCCGACTTGTCGCTTTTCTGCCACTGCGGCACCTGCTCCAAAATCCAGACCCGCGGTCGGCAGCGATCGATATAGCCGATGACAGGGAGGTGAACACTCGATCTCTCATCTGAGCTTCCTCCACGAGCTCCGTTTTGACTCCACGGTTGACATGGTGCACCTGCAAGAAAGATATCTGTGTAGGGTGCCTGCCAAAAGTCGGATGAGTGGGCATTGTCATAGTAGAACTCCGGTGCCATATTGCTCAGGAGAAACTTCTTGACTCGATCATCCGAATCACAAACAAACTTCTGAACATACGGAATGCCAAGCCTTGCCAGGGCTTGGGCTTCGGTTGCCCAGCCCGAGCAGGCACTACCCACAAGGATGGGCCGCTTGCCGTTGGGGGCCACGCTGAAACCTGCTGAAGGTACCTGGCAATTGCGGTTCTTGCTCATGACCGCTTCCACGCGTGGAGCCTTTGACAAAGAGCTCGAAGTGGCAGCACACTCCTTCTTCCGCTTGCCTGATTTGTCGGTCTTCCCCTGGGCAACACTAACTGGGACCTCCGGAATCATGACAGGGCACTTCCGAGCTGAAGCTGAGGAAGCTCGCAGTTTGATCGCACTCTCCTCGCCGGAAGCTGGAACTGAAGCAGCTGGCCGCTTCATCCATCCCTTCTTGCCAGAAGCTGGAACTGAAGAAGGTGGCTGCTTGCTCATACTCGACTTGCTGCAAGCTGAAACTGAAGAAGCTGCCATTGTCATCTGAGGCTTCGAGTGAGCTGGAGCCGAAGAAGCTCGCTGCTTCGCCACAGCCTTCCTAGGCTTAGGCTTCTCCCCGGAGAACACCGGCGGAACATCCCAATCATCCATGATTTATCACAGAAGTCTAACAATTGGCGCCTGTCGCTCTCTAAGCCGCGCTGGCTGGAAGTATATACTGACAAAACCATGCGAGCAGAAACTCCGATTGGCACATCGCTTAGGACCCGGCTGCTTCACGAAAAGATCCAACCATCGCCTGCCGATATCCAAGTCAAAGGCGCATACGCTGACACAGAAGCACTCACTAACGAAGCGAAGGCATTTCCTGCTCCAAGCGCTGGGTCCAGACATCGGCTCAGGATTGGCACATCGCTTAGGACACGGCTGCTTCACGAAAAGATCCAGCCATCGCCTGCCGATATCCAAGTCAAAGGCGCATACGCTGACACAGAAGCACTAACTAACGAAGCGAAGGCATTTCCTACTCCAAGCGCTGGGTCCAGACATCGGCTCAGGATTGGCACATCGCTTAGGACCCGGCTGCTTCATGAAAAGATCCAGCCATCGCCTGCCGATATCCAAGTCAAAGGCGCATACGCTGACACAAAAGCACTAACTAACGAAGCGAAGGCATTTCCTGCTCCAAGCGCTGGGTCCAGACATCGGCTCAGTGTTGATGCATCCCCTGTGAAATGGAAAACCAGACCGCTTACAGGGCCACGTGGGGAGCAGATCACCGAACAAAAGAGTGCACTTTCGAGCTCTGCTTCCTGCTCCTGAATGATTCATTATTATTCTATTTCTTCCAATCTCAGAGGTACGGAAGACTTAAGAGTTCTCGGCAGGACATCCGGCTTGTCTTCATCTGTCAGCCTAATCAAAATCAAAAACGACAGCTGAGACTGTCTCCGAACCGAAATCATACTTTCGGCTTCCTGTCGCAGAATCCAAAGCTGCATCATCAAGCAGCATCAGCAGAAGCACCTTCCCTGCGCAACGCTTCGATCCTGGCTGCTAAAGCAGCTTCCAAGTCACTGCCATTGCCGGTGGTACCGCTGCCATTGCCGGTACCGGCAACAGTACCACTGTTATTGTTGCCGTCACCACTGCCATTATCTGGTGCTGGAGGTCGGCCTCGCCCACGCCCTCCTCGGCCACGTCCGCCACGGCCTGAGCCTGAGGTGGTCTCTGTCCCACCACCCCCAATCCTCTGCGTGCTGCCGGAAAGCAGCTCTGCCAAATACGGTCGGTACAGCATGCCGGAGCCCTCGGTCTGCATTTTCTTGAGAGTCAAGGCAGTCAAGCGCTCGTAGACCTCATTTTGGTGAGTCTCGGAGAAGCAGGCCCCCACGTAAGAGATCTGACACTCAAGAGCCACGGTAGCGAACTGAGAGTCCCCCACAGTCCAGTCAAGGATGGCATTCGGCTTTGTATCCACCTCCAGGATCTCCCTGTACAAGTTCAGGGGCATCGAGTGGAAGTTCACCGGCTCGATCGTCTCCTCGGTCCTTTTCTGGACATCCGCACTTCCTCCCGCGGTCGTTCCCCCCACGTCCACTCGCAGGCGGTCGTAGATCGCCTCAACATCAGGCGCGGGTGGAAGTACATAATAAGTGGTAACCCCCTAACTCGGTTTTCATATCCTGCCTTCTTGTTCGCAAAAGATGTTGTCCACACTTCTGCATCCGTCGGCAGCACAACGTTCTGAATGACCTGTCCGTGGGAGGTCCCGCTGTAGTAGCACCGGTTGCGTCTTTTCTTCATGCCGGGCAGATTGATCCCACAGTTGTACACCTCTGATGTCTTGGATTCAGCCCCACACTGCTGAGTTAGTTAGTAAGGGAAGCATACCTTATCTTCTTAGGGACATGAGTTCAAGCGGCAAGATGACAGCTCTCCAGCTGCTGCAATGAGGTCATGGTCCGATAGCGCTCCATGCGCCGAATCACGGAATTCTCCTCGTAGCAGATGCTGATGGTCCGGGTCTGCTTCGGCATCGCCGTGCCCTTGCTGTCCACAAACTGACTCATGATCGGCGCCAGGTTCCCGAACTTTCCCCCGTCAAACACCATGAATGCCATGTTCTCCGGCAGGCCGTCTGGGCTGCTCATAAACTTGCACGTTCGCTGAATGCAGCGTCGCAGTCTCTCGTTTTTCAACGGGGCCACACGAATGTGAGGACATGTAACAGGTTCACCAGAGTTCTTGACGTCAAAGCATGTGAGCAAGAACTCGGACTTTGCAATGCGCGTCAGGGAGGACTCATTCAAGGCATCCAAGACAAGCTTTTCCTTTTCGTCATCAACGAAAAGTTTGATGAATTGTCTCACATGCTGCTTCGCATACGTGATGGCCTCCATGATGCGGGCGAGGTCTGCCTCGGGCAGGGACCGGACGTGGCTCTCCATGGATTCCTCGCTGCCAGACACCTTCAGTGTATGCACAATGCTGTCCTGCATCTTCTGCTGCGGCGTGCTCACCACCGGCGTCTCCTCTACAACAGCCCTTTCCAGGCTGCTCAGGGCCAGCATCTCTGACTTCAAAGGTCCCGTCTTTTCCGACAGCTCATCATGGTCAAGCCAATCGGCACAGGAGGCCCCTGCATGCAGCATGCGCTTGAGCCTTGCGTCTTCCTCCACTGTGTAGACCAGCTGCTTCAGCAGGCCGCAAGCTGTCCGAGCCGGCTGGCAGAGTGAGCCTAGCCAGGAGACGTCATAGTCCTCCATGTGGCCATGCTGCCCATAAGCTTTCCGGTAGGACTCATGATCATCGAACACTGAGCGAATGACAGCCTTCTGGTTCGCGTCGATGATCGTGCCCTCAAGGTAGTCCTTGATGTAGATGCCCAGCCCATACTTGTAGAGCAAAATGTCACATGTCCCTTTGTGGCCGTAGAGCCCCTTGCCGGAGAAGTTCCGAGTGCTCAGTTGGGTTTTCTGAATTTGCTCCGAGTCATAGAAATCATGCACTGCCCGGATCACCCAGCACATCCTGTCTGTGGCCGAGCCTGGGTCGGAGCGCCCGATCGACTTCGTGCACTTGGAACACAGAGTGTCCAGTTTCCCCACCGAGTCCCAAGGTGTTTGCTTTCCCCAACGCTCTTCAGCATCCAAAATGAGGCGTGACACCGTGGGGTTCGACAAGCAGCGGTCGTAGACCGAGATACACGTGGACACGAAGCCGGCCCAGTCCTGCATCGTCTCGTCCGCATCCGTGATGGTGGAGAACGTCACGCTCGCCTTCCAGCGAGCAGCAATCTCCTTGTGGGTCAACTTGCCCGGCTGGGAATCCCGGTAAACCCCCAGCTCATAGATTCTCTGCACCGCGCTTCGGAACAGGAGGTCATACCCAGTCCCATAGTTTTCCCGGGCTGTCACTCCAGCAAAGTAGAGTTTCTCCGGGCTGGCACCGACCTGGAAGGTCATCGGCAATGACAGCATGAGGGTCGACCACTGGTTCAGCTCCCCCATGGGTGCCCCATCCTTCACACGTTGAGCCACCTTGAGCACAAAGGCGTGCAAGTATTCTTCAGGGGAAATGAGCCGCAAGGAGGTCGGCTGTGCACCATTAGCCAATGACTCAACTTGTGCCGGCAACAAGCCGATGATGACCTTGCCAATTTCCCAGTTGATGTTTGCAGAAGGAAAATA